TGTTGTTTTCCTTAAAGCATTTCCAAACAGGAAATTTCATGCCACTCATGAAAGGAAAGCATTCTTTCTCTCATAAGCCACCAAGGATCATATAAATATCTTTGCATCTGCTCTGAAGGGCGATCGCGAATGACGTCTCTGGCAAATGTTTTATTTGTTAGGAACTCTCAGAAGAGTTCTGGGTAGTTTCGGTATGAGTTTGGTAGACATTACTTGCAAAAATATTTGTGTACGTGGGAATGCAGTATTTAAAGAACATGTTGCTTTGGCTAGACTTCATCAGTTTCCGCCAATATATGAGGATATTTCTGTGCTTATTTCACACTTCACTTGGCTTCCAGGAACTCTTCAAATCCATCCCTTAATTTAGGTGTCATGTGAAAGTATTAAGTCTAAAGGAACACCTTTCCTAACATTGAATAGCCCTCCCCTGAGTAATTGACATACAACATTGGTTTTGTTTTTGAACCAGGTTTTGATATTTATACAGTAGGACAGCTGAAGAAGTATATTTTATTGCAGTTCAGGAATAAATCATCTTGTTTGAATAGTATGTATGTAGGCAGCAAAGATCAAACATTTATATCACATTAAAGGATCTATGGACAAAACATTCATCATGGTCCTCATTGCATAATATTGATTAGGAAGCTGCATGAGTTATTGATTGATGAAAACTATATTGTACTAATTTATCTTTTTGGCCTTTGTTATTTATTCTTATACATTGCCACAAGAATTATGTAGTTTTGTCTATGTGGTTACTTCTAGCAGTGAATGTCAAATGGTTGATAAATACAGATGCACTAACTTCAGAAGGTACTTTTTAGTTAAAGTAAAATGTCAATACTGCTAGTTTGTAGTTAAAATCATAGGTAATATTTCCACTGAATTAAAAACACAAGAATAAGTAAAACCATCAAGTGTTTGGTGTTATATATTTACCTTCAAATTAGGAAAATAGTTATTTTCTACTAGCCTTTATCTATTATCATTCTCTTAATATTTTCTGATCATATGATTACTTACTCCTTTAATTTTCCCAGTATTAATTTCCTAATGAACTATGATATTTATTTATGTTAATTATCTCCCTTTTACAAAGAGCAGTGTAATTCAAATTGTTTAAAGCTCTATGTATTGTTTCACATTTTAAGGATTCTAGGTCATTTCTACAATAGTGTCAGTTTGTAAAAGGTGCTTATGAAAAATTACTTGGAAAATGCAATGCTCCCTAAAAGTGGCACTTTATATTTAATCTTACATTAACACAGTAGGCATAACATTTTGCTCTCTCATCTCCACAAGGCATAGTTGTACAATGAGAGGCTACATTCACATATAGTAGTAGAGGAAACAGCCCTCTGAATTTGCTGCCACTTTTAGAAATTCTATCAAATAATGGCCAGATCCCTCACCATCTCTTAATATCATATTCCCTTTTTTTAATTGTTCTGGCAAACGATACTGTTGTTCAAGGAGAAGAAGAGCATGTTAATCTCTGATTGGCTCAGACTCAGTCTAGGTTCCTAGTAAAATATGTTGGACCCATATCTAGCTAAAGGTGATTGATGGGGACTCTTTCAGACTAAGTTTTTCTGTTACATGTTCACGTTGCCAGAGTAATACTTGAGCCTGGGAAATAAGCCCGCCAAAATAGCTTTAAAACTTTTTGCCCCCAAACTTCTTTAAAAACTGTTCTCTAAAAAATTCTGTACTGTATTTCCCTTTTAAAAATATATATATATTTTATTGAGTTTTTACAGAGAGGAAGAGAGAGGGATAGAAAGCTAGAAACATCGATGAGAGAGGAGCATCGATCAGCTGCCTCTTGCACACCTCTTAGTGGGGATGGATGTGCCCGCAACCAAGGTACATGCCCTTGACCAGAATCGAACCTGGGACCTTTCAGTCCTCAGGCCGATGCTCTATCCACTGAGCCAAACCGGTTTTGGCTGTATTTCCCTTTTAAAATATGAATCTTTCAACCATGCTCCTGGTGACAGATGGGTTTCCTTTAAGTCAAAGCATGGTTTTATTTTGTGTTGTTGTTATTTGTGGGTTTTTTTGTTGTTGTTTGTTTGTTTGTTTGTTTGTGTTGTGTGTGTGTGTGAGAGAGAGAGAGAGAGAGAGAGAGAGAGAGAGAGAGAGAGAGAGAGAGAGTGTGAGTTGAGGGGCAGTTCTTTTTTTTTTTTTTTTTTCTTTTTTTTTTTTCATTAAACAAAAGCTACTGATTACTTCCATGTGAAAATAAAGAGCCATAGTTTCAGCCTTGAAAAAAATATGAATCAGTAATAAAAAAATAAAATAGTATATACAAATAAGAAAGAGGTTTGTGGAAAGATTAATAGAAGTGTTTTTGCTTTGACAGCTCTAACTCTGTTCCTCCCATTGTCAGGACAATAAGTTCTGACCAAGCTCATAGGTTTGCTATCCAGGAGTTTGTGTCCAAGAAGTGAGGGGATGAAAACTTTTATTCTTAAGATGTTAAGCTAACAAACTTATGGATTCTTCAGGACATTTTTTTTTTTTTTTGTCTTCTTTCTCATCTATACTAATAAAAAGGTAATATGCTAATTAGATCAGACATCTTCTGGAGGACCATCCAAACGTCCTTCTGGAAAAAGCCACGGTGGTGAGGGCAAGGTAGAGGTGGTTAGGGGAGATCAGGCAGGCAGGCAGCTGAGTAGTTTGGAGCCAGGGGTCCCAGATTGTGAGAGGGTCCAGGCCAGGTTGAGAGACACACTCTCCCATGCACAAATTTTGTGTACAGGGCCTCTAGTCACATATAGTTTTGTAGCTATATGTGAAATATGTCAATATGAGCTTGATCTTTTATCTGTTTTAGAGTTATCATCTTTTAAAGACTCCCCCATAGTACTTCACATAATTTAACAATAAACTCAAATCATCAGAAATATAGCAGCTTAGTGGCATTTGTTTTAATGAAATATATATATTGTTCCTTGGGACCTATGAAATCCATTTTTATTTGCTATTTCTTGAAAGAACTTTAGGAAACATTAAAATCATAGAGGACTTGGTTAATTAGAATCAACTTTTTTTATACAAGTTATTTCTCTTGCCTATTAATTTTTGTTCTTATAATACATATGTAAACATTTTTTAAGCTATCGACCATGAGCAGTCTATGGGTCAATCTTCAGCCACTTTATCATCTCAATTTGAATTTCCTTTTAACTTAGGATAATTCTGAGGCACTTTTTTTTTTTCTTAAAGTAGGTACATAAAAATTAAAACATTTAAAAATGAGCTGATGTTATTAAAGGCAAATTTGTAGAAATCTGTATATACAACATATTCTAGTCTTTGGGATGGTTGTTAACTAATCTTCCTCCTTTTTTCACAAAGCTTCATAGAATAGCTTCAAACTCTATGCAATTTCCATGGAATTTAATGAAATAAAGCATTTCGCCAAATGAAGTAGTAATTATTTGTAATAAAAATATAAAGTTAAATAAAAGTGAAAAGCCATTAAAAACTTTATTAAATAAGGAACACTTTTATAGACATCCTCGGCCTCTAAGGCCATGTCTAATTTTGACCTCTTCTTTGGAGAACTGACTCATCTAATTCCTGATTGAGTAAATCAAAGACATTTATTCAAATTTTAAACTGTCCAGGAGGGTGTCAAATTGAGTTTTATCCAATAGTATCTTGAATGCCATTGGAATTGCAAAGGTAACTGAGGAGTTTACATTGGATTTCTTTTGAATCATAAACATTTTCATGTATGTTTAGTGAAGGGATATGAATTTTGGTTGCTCCAGAATGTTTTGAGTTATATTTTGTTTGAGTAACATTAAATGCAAAAATAAAGTCCAAGTTGTGGTAAAAATTTAATTTTTTTTTTCTTACTGAAGTTTTCATGATCATCATAAAAAAATGGTAAGAATTACAGTTGGACTAAGAAAAGAGCTAGAACAACTAATTTGTTTTTTATATGGCAACAAGTTTATTAAAAAGAAAAAAATTAGCACATCAGCTTCAAATATATTTACACTATTAGAGAAAAACCAAGGTTAATACCATTACCAACTTTTTATGTATTTAAGCAAATTAATTTTAGGAATAATTATATAGTTATTTCTTAAATATACATTTAGCATATATGTTATAGTGACATATGGAAAATAATGCCTTGAAGAACTTTTTAAGAACAACCTTATTTGACGTTTGAAAGGAAATTTGGAAAGGAGATAAGCCATAATGATAAGTTGACTTTTTTTTATAACTTTAATCTCTAGACTGACATTAATTTTACTTTTCTTAACGTTTTTTTAGTGGCCAAACTTAGAACAAAGTATTTTTTCATTTTCCTACTTGATCACTATATTGCTCCTAAAAGTTTTTCAATTTCCAAAGAAAAGTGATTATAAATCACATATAGGATACTTAAACATTTATAAATAGAGTAACTTTATATCTAATGTTAAAACATGAGTAGATAAATCCAGGAAATTTAAGAATTACCAGTTGATGCTTTTTTAAACTGGTCTAGATGAAGCCAAGCTAAAATATTCTGTTTTATATGGAGAAAAATTTCACAGGCGGGTCCACCAGGTCTACTTGCTCCGTTAGGTGGAGTGGGATAGTAATAATAATACATTTATTTTTATTTTTAAAAATATATTTTATTGATTTTTTTACAGAGAGGGAGAGAGAGGGATAGAGAGTTAGAAACATCGGTGAGAGAGAATCATCAATCAGCTGCCTCTTGCACACCCCATACTGGGGATGTGCCCACAACCACGGTACATGCCCTTGACCAGAATGGAACCTGGGACCTTTCAGTCCGCAGGCCAACACTCTATCTACTGAGCCAAACTGGTTTCGGCAATGAAACATTTAATATTTATTCCACTCTATTATTATAAAAATGTATGTGACAAAATATCTGGGTAATACAAAGCAAATGAACACTTAGAAGGATGACAGTTTGAAAGATTTTATTAATTTGCATTTCTTTTAATCAATAGCTCACAGTACTATGAATGACACCAGAGTCCCTATGGAAACAACCGAATGCATTCAAGGTCAAGGAGAAGGTTATCGAGGAACCGTCAATACCATTTGGAATGGGATTCCATGTCAGCGATGGGATTCCCAGTATCCTCACCAGCATGACATAACTCCTGAAAACTTCAAGTGCAAGTGAGTAAATTCGGCCAAGATTATAAAAGTGCAGTAAGCTCTGGGAAAATGAGGTAGGGTGGTTACTTTTCACTAATTTCTGTGTTAGTGATCCTTAAACTTTAGTGTGCTAGAGATAATCAAAAGGCAGATTAATCGACTCAGATTTTGATTCCTTAGGTCAAATATACATTTTTAACAAGCATTCTAGGTAATTCCAAATCAGATGGTTTATGTACCATGCTTTGGGAAGCACATGTACAGGTTTCTAATCACAGTTTTGTTTCTTCCTTTCTTCCTTTCTTCCTTTCTTCCTTCCTTCCTTCCTTCCTTCCTTCCTTCCTTCCTTCCTTCCTTCCTTCCTTCCTTCCTTCCTTCCTTTCTTTCTTTCTTTCTTTCTTTCTTTCTTTCTTTCTTTTGTTAATCTCCACACAAGGGTATTTTTCATTTTTCCATTGATTTTTTAGGGAGTGGAAAAGAGAGGGAAAGACAGAGAATCACTGATGTGAGAAAAACATATTGGTTGCCTCCTGCACAAGCTCTAATGAGGGCCCTAGAGGAGCCTGCAACCAAGGTGCATGCCCTTGACCATAATCAAACCTGGGACCCTTTGGTCCCCAAGCTGATGCTCTACCCACTGATAGAGCCCTAGCTTTTTTTTCTGCAGCTCTATTTAACAAACCAATAAATGATAATAGAAACCAGTCAAATTTTAAACTAGTGTTTTTTAACATTTTTATATTTACTTTAGGTGAGATTACATACTTTTTCTCCTGCAAAAAGAGGAATACCTTATTTTCAGCTAATATTGTGAATTGATGAATTTTTGGCCTTGAAGCAAACTTATCTTTTAAATGTTAAATGAATATTTTATATTGTTTCTGATTTTCTTTTTAAAAACGGGGAAGTAAAACATTTATTTAGATGAATTTAGCCAAAGAAACTTCCCTTGAATGTCAATTATTTGGTCATATGTGCCTTCTCTGGGGCTGCTTTTTTTCACCACTTGACTTGTTGGGCAGACACAGCCACAATGCCATGTGTTTTTAAATGGTCCACCTTGTTATGGGGAACATAAAATGATTGCTTTTGAAATTTATAACACACCTGTCATTCATAGTGCCTTGCTGAAATAGCACCTATAAATAACATATATTGGCTTTATGTAATTGGATTTTAATAAGAGAGCTTAGCATTTCAAGATGGAGAATTTTGAGCACTAGTCAGCCAATCTACTGGAAAAGGGAGATATTTTATGTTTTTCTTTTTAAGTTAATTTAATATATTTACTAAGATGATAAATATTCATCGCTTATGAGTTTTTTCATTATTTTATAATAACAAATGTATAGTTGTTATTCTGGATTTATTTTCCACCATTTTTTTTCACAGTAGTATACATTTTATTCCTGACCTATGTGTTTCACACCTCAGAAATAAATATCAAATAAAGCAAAGAATATGAAAAAAGATTAGTTTAGAGAGATAGAGAAGACACTGTCAGTGCCAGTCACACTTTCTGTTAACTTCTAAGACTGGTAATACTCAAGTAAGAAATCATGTATGTGTCAATACCCAATTAAATTTATTTGTAAGAAAAGAAGAATAATGTAATTCACACATTTCACAATTAAAAATTACCAAAAGCTTAGTTGTTATTTATCAGAATTTAAGTTATCCTTCCTTAATTTATTTATTTGGTAAAGATAACCAAACCCACGTATAAAAAAAAACAAAAAACAAAAAACACCCAGTGAGTTTTTTTATATAAAACATTTAATATTTATGGTCTAGCAGAAAATAATGTGCTAGTCAGGTGTCTGTGGTTGCATTAAACACCATTTGCCACAATACTGAGACTCCTTACATATGACAATTTTAAAACTATCACTCAAACATAGTGCCAGTGATGAATCTACATAAATCATATAGTAATTAATTTGTTTTAGGAATTGTACACAATTCTTCAAGTGAAGGGAAAGATCATAGGAAAAATATTTGGGCACGTCTTGACTCTCATGCTTGCTTAATCTAGATTAATGAGGTGCTTCTAGATACAGATTTTTGTGTGTATTAAATAATTTTTTAATTAAAATTTTTGAGGTGACATTGGTTAAGAAGATAATATAGATTTCCAGACACCTCTCCCAAGTAGACATACTAATGACCAACAGATATGTGAAAAGATGTTCAACCTCACTGGCAATTAGATTTTGATTTTTAAAGTGGGCCTAAAGTGAGACTTTTGTTAGCCTTAGAATTCTAATGATCTTGCCCTAAGTTTAACTAAGCAATTTTTTATCTAAAATTACAAAACTGAAAAAATTTTATGCAAATTTAATGCACATATTTTGTACTGACATACATTTTTGAAACCTAAATATAAATTGTTTGAAAAAAAATAACAGATTTTCTTTACCTTTCCAGTTAATAATTTTATCATTTTATAAGAAGGCGAAAGGCTTGAATAGTTATAACCTATGAAAACTTATTGTACTGTGGCCTTAACTATTGGCAATCACTTTTATTATAACCTTAAATAACGAAGTTTGTGACAGGATATATTTTTACTAGATAAATTATTGTTGATTTTATAATCAAACCCAAGCCTCTTCCTTAAGAACTTCTCAGTTTCTAATAGCTTATTTTTGTATCAATAAAATTATAGTTCTTTTAAAAAATGTGTCTTTATTGATTTTAGAAAGAGAGAGGGAGAGAAACATAAATGGGAGAGAGAAAACTTGACTGCTTGCCTCCTGCATGTGCCCCAAACGGGGAAAGAAACCCTCCACTTGGTACATGCCTTGACTGGGAATGGAACTGGTGACCCTTCAGTGCACAGGACAATGTTCAACCAACCAAGCCACACCAGCCAGGGCAGTGCTTCTAATTGGACCTAAGGGATGTAAATAATGTGGCTTCAATAGATTGAATATCAATTTTGTTAAATTATTATTCACAGATCTAAGAAAAGACAGTACAAACTTGCTTCAAATTATAGAACACGTTTAGGAAAGCAAGCCACAAATTCAGGATTTTATTTGAAACAAACTTTATATTAAGGTTTGCATTAAAATACTTTTGTAGACAGAGAATATTTGTATAGACTTTTTCCTTATTGAGAACTCTAAATACTTACAAGTTACTGGTAAAATAAAGGATGAACATATACTATATTGATTGATGACTTCTATAGTTAGGTTTTTATGTTTTAGTTATGTCTTTATTTTACAAAAATATTTATGAAGATTTAGGTAACATCTCTGAGTCAAGAAATAAGTAATGCGTAACTAAAATAAATATATGTAGCAAGTTAAATGAATCAAGAAAAGACAGAGTTCAAAGAATAATTAGGTATGATGTTTTTATATGGCAAATGTTTGATTAGGCAAAACTTTTTTTTTAGCGAATTAATGAGTAATTAATGACTATTAATAATAGCCTTTATTCCACAGAGAGATGCATGTTGTTTCCACATTATATATGAGCCATAAAGACAATAAATAAGAATTTAGTTTTCAAATGTGTAATAGTTGAGAGTTCTAGTCCTGACAATGAGTGAGAACAATGAAGTGAGTGGTACCAGTTCTCTCTTTTGTGAAGCAGGAGTGTTCGTCTGGAACTTCAGGCTGGCAGGAGGAAAAGAATACTGACATCTGACAGCACGTTTTTCAGTATCGGGGCAGTGTCCGTTGCATATACTGAACTCCAAATTGTTCTAACTAGCCTAACACTAAAACGTAGAACTCTAATTATTGACATGCACTCATTCTGGGGGTTCTAGAGGTGTAGTAGTGCAATTTACATTAACATGCTTATTCTCAATAGGGACCTAAGAGAAAATTACTGCCGAAATCCAGATGGGGCTGAGTCACCTTGGTGTTTTACCACTGATCCAAACATCCGAGTTGGCTACTGCTCCCAAATTCCAAAATGTGACGTGTCAAGAGGACAAGGTAATAGTTGACATTTTGCAATATGGACATGATTAAAATCAGGGAAACTGCCTAAAGGAAGCGCACAAAAGCTAATTCTCACTGCATTGCTTTCCCCGAGTCTAAAATTGGATTTCTTTTTCATATTCATTTGCTCCATGTTTATTCACTTATCTGCCTGTATACCAATGCCAGACACAGTTCTAGGCACTGAACTTGGAAACAAAATATCCTTGGAAACAAAACAAAATTTTTTGACCCCTTAAAACTAAATTCTGGTAAATAGAAAACAAGCTAAGTGAAAACGAGGTCGGGGTAGTGAGTTAGTTTGTGGCGAGTGCTAGAGAGAAAGCGTTCCAGTTAGAAGAGAGAGGTTTGGCTATTTTATATTTTATCTTGAGTCCTGGTACACAAATTTGTGCATGGGCGGAGTCCCCCGGCCTGGCCAGCCAGGGGGCCTATCATACTTGAAAACATAGATGCCATTGAAAGTAATTGTTTCAGGAGCAGTAGTAGAGAAAAGTCAGATTGAAATAGATTTTAAAAAGAAATCATTTGTCAAAGATCATTAATAATGTTGGGTTATGGGCATGTATTAATATATAGTAAATGGAGAGCTCTAATTTTCAAATAATTATTTTTTCACATAAATTTAATTATGAGAGTCATGGTCAGCCCTAAATTATTCTAAAAAGTCCAAGCCAAATTTAAAGCTTCATTTCATATGCTTACTGTCCTATATATACTCATCCATCTTTAAATCTCTATCTCAGTGACATTTTTCACAAAAAAATCTGAACCCAGTTGCAAAGAGAAGAGGGGATGAGTCCCTTGTCAGTCAGTTTCACTGTTCTTTGGGGGATGTTAAAGGTCATTTGGAAATAAAGTTGAAACCAATGATTAAGGGAGTCTTGGTATTAGCTGGATGTTTTATTCATATTTTGTTTATTTAACCCTTACTGATAATTTGTGATCACAGAGGCAAAAAAGAACAATTGCTTTATAAGCTTCTGTATAAAGACACTTTTGTGTGCAGTACATATATATTACTTACTAAAAGACCAGGTAATATAAAATGAAAGGTTTTTTTTTTTTTTTTTTTTTTTTGTATTTTAGAAGTTAAGTAGATGTTACTGCTTATCTAATAAGTGCACAAATTAAAAGACAAAGAAATTAGTTTTATAGAATTTAAATAACTTACCTAAATACTCAAATTAGCACAGCTGTGACTGAATGTAACTCTCCTTAAAATGATCTTTTCATTATTCCATGCTTTATCTTTTTTATTAATATTTCAACATTTATTGCATTGTTTTTTCTATAATACATTAAAACAAAGCACAGACTCTGTGGGGCAATTTAAAAATGAAGTCCTACTTAATAGACAATTCAACATACAGCTGTGAAATTTTAACATTGTTATGCTATTGTTTGATATTGCCAAGCTAAGAGGGCACATACATCCCCTCAAACAAACACACACACACACACACACACACACACACACACACACACACACTCATTCACATACACTCACAAGAATGTAGCTGTTATTCTCTCCATATACCAGAAAATATAAATTTCACATATAGATTGATAAGTTAGAACTTCTTAAATCTTGCAACTCCTGAATTAGCATATGTATAAATGCTCTTCTAATTGGATATTAAATAACTTTGTTTAAAAAACAAAATCTTAAATTACAGACTTTCTTTATAAATGTTGATAAAACACAATTTATTAGATTATGTGAGATACACTTCAGAGAATTCATAAGTCCACAATTATATCACTCCTTCTACTACTGACAATAGTATTGGTACCACGACCACTGCTGTTACTGGCAGTAATAAAACCTAAATGGAAGGAGCAGGGGAGAAGAAAATATTCATTTACAAGAAAATGACAACTATAATAATAAATAAAGAAGTGTGGAAAATAAACCATTTTATTTATAACCATTTTAAAACCAGCATAGAACTAATTCATGCAAAATTAACCAAAGTATGCCCAAGCCATTAAGTGATTATTACTTGGCAGTAGGATGTTTATTCAGTCCCAAAGGTCTCAACATTTTTTGTTTTTGTTGTTATAGAAAAATAATTTTTTTCCTTTTACACCACTTAACGAAGATATCAAACTCACCAGTAATAATGATAAAAACTCTGAAAAGAACAAAATATCACCTATTCAACATTCCTGTCTTTAACTTGATTTTATTCATGAGAAAATAAAAGATGAAATTAAGGAGCATTTGCAAAACACTTGGCTTGGCCTGGATGTTGTGGCTAAATGGTTGAGCATATGCTAATTATGTTGACCCTGAACTCAGGTCACTGGTCCTATTCCTGGTTTGATTCTCAATCAGGGCACATACCCAGGTTGCGGGTTGCAGGCTCAATCCCTAGTAGGGGGTGTGCAGGTGGCAGTGCTCTCTAACATATGGGATGTTTCTCGCATCTCTCTATCTCTCATCCTTCCTCTCTCTAAAACCAACATATTAAAAACAAACAAAACACAGCTGGCTTGGGTGACTCAGAATGCCAATCACATGAAAGATAAAATTAAATTACAACAAATGTGATGAGTATGTGAGTGTTCATTATGTCATTCTTTTCTGAAGAAAATGTTGGGAAATATATATGTCATTCTAAAAATTCCCACTTTAAGTGTCTTTAAAAGCCACTCATTTAATTTTTCTTTGATTTTTAAAAAATGTGCAGTTAACTGCATAAAAATCTCATTTTAATGAAAAAGAAATTTGGCTGAAAATAAAGTACTTTAGTTTGTACAGATTTTAGAGTGATTTAATTTTGTATATGACTTTTATGAATGTATATGCTCATAAAAATGTTTTTGTTCTATCTGTATTTCCTAGAATTCACTAGTTTCCCCCCCATATATTTATGTTTAGATTGTTATCGCGGAAATGGCAAAAATTATATGGGCAGTTTATCCAAAACACGATCTGGACTAACATGTTCAATGTGGGATAAGAACATGGAAGATTTACACCGGTGTGTACATTTTTTTTTTTTTTTTACAATATATAGTATGTAGTGATAACAGTAATAGATATATGCAGGTATCTGCATTGCTATTTCTTTCCATTATATATTATCATAAGCTAACAAAAACATTAGATTGATTATTCATGCAACTCAATTTAATATTTTACCTCTAAGTAGCAAACTTTTAAATAAGAAATTCAAACCAGTACATACAAATCCAGTTAGAGGTATAGTTTTTATGACTGGATTAGGATGGCCATGTAGATTTTGACTTCACTAATATTACTGAGGTAAATATGAATATCAATCTATAATAAGAAAAGCAAATATGCAAATTGACCGAAAGGTAGAACAGTGGAACGACCATCCAAGTGACCTTCTGGACGGCTTTCTGGATTCCCTTCCAGACGAAGTTAGGGCTTTGAGGGCTGAGGCAGCCAGGGCTGTGAGGGCCTACTCACACATGAATTTTGTCCGTTGGGCCTCTAGTGTTATATAAGCAAGTATGGTCTTATATACGGTATTTTTGCTTTTCTTTTGTAATAAATTTAGTGAAGATGTAAAATATTAAAAGCCAAAGTATTACTCAGTTATCTGTCAAGAAGTCACATTTTGTAACTCTATGACCAATGATATTTTATAATTTATTATTAATTTTTCAATGTTTCTTCTTGTATTTTGGAATAGTTATTTTGTAAGAGATGCTTCATATATCACTAAAACAAAAGCATACTTTGCAATGGATTATGTTTTCTAGTTATTTTATAATGTTGATGTTCTTTGTCATCTGCTCTTTTTTTGCTAATGTTTCTCCATTTCCATGCACAGGTATACTGTTGCCTTACCACTCCAATTATTAAATAGAAAAAAAGTCATAAAATCTTTCACAATTTAACCATGCTAATTATGCAGCCCTATTCCATATTCCTGAGCTAGAGAACTTGCTTCCAAACTGTAGAAACAACAAAATAAATATCAAACAAAATAATCAAAATTCATATCAGTTGAAGTTTGTGCCATATCTATAATGAAAGTTATGTGCTCGGATTTTATCTTCTTGTTGACATTTTGCTTTTCTTGGACAAAATGAGCATCTTGTGATGTTCAGAGTGTTTGTTTATGCAGGCATATCTTCTGGGAACCAGATGCTAGCAAGCTAAATAAGAATTACTGTCGGAATCCTGATGATGATGCCCATGGCCCCTGGTGTTACACAGGAAATCCTCTCATTCCTTGGGATTACTGCCCTATTTCTCGTTGTAAGTATATTCAATGATCTTTTTCAGGTGAAATATTTTAAATATACTGCATCTTATCTAAATTGGTATCTTAATAAGAGGTGAAAATAATAATATAGGAGGGATGCATTTGATCCCTTAATGAGAATGTACTACACACACACACACACACACACACACACACACACACACACTTTCTTCCTCTTTCATCTAGACAAGGAGATATTCTGCTGAACTTTAAGTGTATATATATATATATATATATATATATATATATATACACACACACACACACACACACACACACACACATATATATGGAAAGGAGAGGGAGAGAGAGATAGAAACATCAAATGATATGAGAGAATCATTTATTGGCTGCCTCCTGCCCACCCCACACTGAGAACTGGGCATGCATCCCAATCAGGAATCGAACCGTGACCTCCTGGTTCTTAGGTCAATGCTCAACTACTAAGCTATGGCAACCAGGGCATTCTTCTGACCTTTTAAAAGAAGATTTTCCTTCCTTAGAAGATTCTAAAATTTAATTCGGAAATAATCATTGGTCATGGCTCTAATATGACTGTTCTAGGAAGAACGCCCCATTCGCATCACCAGTACTATCTGTTCAGCCTTTGAATGTACCAGAGCTTTCAGTAAAGGCCCACCCCACTAACCATCCCAGGGAGAGACTTGAGGTAGTGGTGCCTCTCTCTTCTCAGTTATTTAGCCCAAAACTAAGAAGTCCATATATGTCTGATATACTTCACATAAAAGAGCTCCTATATATCAGTAAGAAAGTGATAACTCAGGAGAAAAATAAAGAAAATGAATCCTCAAAAATAAGTAGTGTTTCTCTGGTGTTCTGTTTTTCACACATTAGAGTTTTTGTAGGTCCTGAAAATGTTCTTTTACAGAAGATGTCTTTCAAGTTTTAATGCTAAAACAAACAAGCAAACAAACTTAGTACTTCTTTGACATACAGATTTAAAAAAAATAGCTAAAGGAATTAATTTTTCTAAATATTACTTTTACCTCAAGGAAAATTTTTGTGATTAAGAATAAGGATGTCCAGCCAGCATGGCTCAGTGGTTGAGCATTGACCTATGAACTGGGTCACAGGTTCAATTCCTGGCCAGGCCATATGCCTGGATTGTGGGCTCACTCCTTAGTAGGGGGCATGGAGGAGGCAGCCAATCAATGATTCTCTCTCATTAATGTTTCTTGCTCTCTCACCCTCACCCTTCCTCTTTGTAATCAATAAAAACATATTTAAAAAAAAAAAAAAGACTGATAAAAGCTAGTATACTATCCAATGATCTAAAGTCTTGGTTGGCAAACTGTGGCTCGAGAGCCACATGTGGCTCTTTGACCCATTGAGTGTGGCTCTTCCAAAAATACCACGGACTGGCTGAGTCTATTTTGAAGAAGTGGCATTAGAAGAAGTTTTAAGTTTTAAAAAGTTGGCTCTCAAAAGAAATTTCAGTCGTTGTACTGTTGATAATTGGCTCTGTGGACTAATGAGTTTGCTGACCACTGATCTAGGGAGAAGGAAAAAAAAACCAATGATCTGGCTTTTAAAACATCTTCTAATGCTTTTCCTACAGAATTCCAGATATTTAAAAATCCTGGTAGTTTAGTTTTAGCACATAGAGTAAAATGTTCCCATAGAATCTCAGGGAACTGTGCTTTGGATTACAGGGCTCTCATAATTTAAAAACATATTTCCAACTAACATTTTAAAACTAAAAGTTGTCATGTGCTATTGAAAGACTTCAAGGTATTGCTAGTATTTGATTAAATGCTATTGCAGATAACTCATTTTTATTTCAATTTATTCTAAACATTAATTTTAATAAATATTTTTACACTGTCATCTTTCTAACTAATATTTATAGCCAGGATTTATTTACATTTTACCACTGTTGAAAGGCTAATAAAATTTATCTTTAGAAGATTTGAGGTCTTATTTATTTAACTGCAGAGACTATATAAATCATTTTTGTACTATACAATTGTGGTACAAAACATGTAAAGGTTTTATTACCTTACAAAATTATACCTAACATATATTTTTAACATCAAATATGCAAAAATAAGACTGGAGAAATGTTTAGACATTTATCTGTACACAAACACAATATAGCTTAGAAAAAAATATTATTTTTTAACAACTAGAGAACAGTGATTTAGAGCTTTATCTTTGACCTCTGGGTAAGAATTCCAACCCTATTACTATAAGTGCCTTGGGCAAGTTATTACAACTAAGTATGTATTTACTTATTCATTTTTAACAATTTAAAATTCAGTTACTATTGTGTGCAAAGCCCTATATAACACTCTAGATATACAACAATCTAAACAATGTTTCTTAACTTTATATAGTTTTCAGTGTAGAAAGAAGACATTTATGTAAATAATTGCAAATATAATTATTTAATAAATATATTTCATATTAAAATAAATAATGAGAATGGGAGCATCGATATCTGCCTGGAGAAATATGTGATGCTCATAAAGTTTTGAACCTGACTCATAAAATTTAAGAATATGTTAATAGGTTTCTTTTGTTTTCAATAACAGCTTATAGTTTGAATCTGAGGCCATAGAAACACACAACACGTAAATACAACTTTTATCATTGACATGTTTTCCTTCTTCAAAATATAAGTTGAATCAATACATATATATATTTTTTCATATTTGAATACTATGGTGGAGATAGTTGGAAAGAAGTAAAAGAGGAAAATTGAAAATAGTATTTGATGGTAAAATAGAAAAGGCCTAGAGAGCAGTTTTTCAATATTTTGCTCAAAGTGTACAGCAGAAGAAACTGGAATGTTTTTAAAAAATTCACAATCTAGCCTTCAACTCAGAATCTCCAAAAATCTGACTTTAAGTTGTATTTTAGCTAATTCTAATATGGGAGAAATATTTGCTTACATGAAACTATATATATGTATATATTATCAGTGATTAATTTATATTAACATCAATGATATTAATTAATTATTATTAAAGCCCACAATTTACTATGTGTATATATTTTTAAATTTTAAATATTTTAGTAAGGTACAATAATTAACTAAATACTGTGTTCTGTTACTTAGAAAACTTGATATGCAATTAAGGATAGAATAAATAGTCTTTCTTGGCAGGACAAAATAAGAAATAAAAATATAGTTTTTTTATTTTAGAATTTTTAAGTACTTGACTTGAGTGGAAAAACCAATGTCCTTGATGTTTTAATTACCCACAGTCAGCCTCAATCCTTATTTGTACTATAAACTAAAACCTTGACCTCAGCTGACTCTAAGACAAAACCCTCCCTCAGGATAAGCTAAAGGGAAAGCAAATAATGAAATTTATCTTTATTCATTTAAATTTCTTAGACCTGGTAAATGAGCTTCAGTAAAAACCCTTGAGATTCTCTATAAATAACAATCAAATTTGCATCTATTACAGAGGAATCCATATGCCATTATTCTCTTGTTATCGGTTTATTTGAGCTCAGAGCATTTTCAGGGATTAACAACAATCTGTGTCTAAACAGCGCTTGACTAAACTCTATGCCATCAATTCTGAACAGTCGGACATTAAACTCCAGGAAATGAATTGTGCCTCATTTGTTACAAAGTTCTCTCAAATCCTAGCATCTCTTTGTAACAATTAAGCCTCAGTAAGGAAGTTATGAAAAAGGAGTAAGTTATGAAGTTTTAGTTAGAATTAATTTCCAGTTTCGAGTATTCTCTTTTCCCCACATTTTTTATTATCATTTGGAAAAATTAATTTTGAAATATTCTAAGAAAAAAAGTTATATTGGTTTTGTTTTATTTCCCCATTGATGATGTAGATTTCTACCTTCTGGAATTCTTAAGGTTTTCTGAAGCATGTGAAGTTTCAATTATCTTCAACTGTATTTTTTAAAAATAATTTTCAGAAAAAATATAAACAGGCCACGTGACAATAAAAACATAATGTATCGACATGAATGGCACAAGCAAGCAATCATAAGTATTAGTGCTAATAAATGAAATGGTCCCTGTGTGCAGTGTTGGGGATCTTGGTAGTGAGGTAGCTTCTTGATGCCAGTAGACACCCTCCACAGTCATAAAACAGGGCTTTCTCCACATTACCCTCTACCAGTAGGCACACACCTTCCCTATTGTCCAGTAAAAATTATACATAAATACTCAAAAGAGTACTATTACAATTTGTCTTTGAATAAAACGTCAAAAATTTTAGTAAATTATCCAATTTGTGGATTTTCAATCTCAGTATATAGCTTTGGTTTTATATTACAGAAATATGTATGTATGAATTATGTATATATGTACATACTTATTTTTACAGGTGAAGGTGACACCACACCTACAATAGTCAACTTAGACCGTAAGTAATATTTTGTATATTTGTGTATATTTGTATATTTTGTATATTTTGTATATTTGTGTCTCTAATGTGTCAGAAATGTACCATTACTTTCTTCATAGGAAAATACCTTATCACTATATTAACTTCCATTATAAAAATAAGTTGGTCTATTTTTACTTTTTTTTTAATGTGCATATGTAGGGGGATACAAAGGTAACTGCTTACTAAATATCAAAATTCAATTCTGTTATCAGACACTATAAAAAGTTATATTTAACCTTAAAAAAGCATTTATATTTCTTATAATTCTGGCCAAAATGTATGTATGGATCTTTACTCTCTTTTTAAGTTAATAAAGATGCAAAAATCAGAAGGAATAAAACCAAAAGGTTGGGAAATTACGCAGCATCTCTATCCCACTCTATTTTTAAAGTTCTTTGCATGCTCTACTAGGCCAAAGATGACATAGCCTGAGAGGTTCGGTTAATTCCCAATTTAAGAAAATCTGTTGAGAGCTACTGATTTTTAATTTTTGCTAGGATAGGCAAGGAATAAAGAGGAGGGTCAGGAAAAAGTTTACCTCAGAGGATTCTATATTGTCATTTGGATATAATGATTTGAATGTAATGGTTATATCATTCGTATACAATATCAATAATTATATAGAATATTGATAACTTATTTTAAAATTGCTATGCATTCTGACTTTACTATTTCAGAAATAATAAACCCAATATATTTCTGTTTGTTTGTCTTGTTCAGGCTATTGGTTTGTGTTGGCATTTAGAAATTACCACCATAAATGACATAAATTTTATGTTGAGATTGGTGGGGGAAATATAGACATGGAGAACTCTACTTTCTTAGTGCTGGGTGAGGAAAGCCACTGTTGCTCTCATGGCAATGCTGTTGACCTTGAGTTGATTAGTTTTTCTGTGTTACTCATCTATGATGAGGATTGCAAACATTTTGGGCCTAATTTGGCACTGTAGCCATAAAACATTTTCACCATCACATGTTCTTCTTACAGAATTGTGGTGGTTACATTTGCCTAGGTACCTTTGCCGAGCGCCACAGTATTAAAAAATGTTTAGTTAAAATGTTAAGGGGAGTGGGGTGAGGGTGACTGGATTTAAAAAGTGAAGGAAACAGCTAAAGAATATATGTGCATACCCCATTTGTAAGGACCAAGGAAGGCGGAGACAGGGGAGAGTGAAGGTGGGCAAATGGGGGAAGGAGGACTCCTGCAATAATATCAACATTCATTTTTTAAATTAAAACCATTTATGTATATAAATCATGTATAGAAGTTATATTTGGTTCTCTCTTTAGATCCTGTGATATCTTGTGCCAAAACAAAACAATTACGAGTTGTAAATGGAATTCCAACACGAACAAATGTAGGATGGATGGTTAGTTTGAAATACAGGTAATTATTAATGATACAAATCATATGTATTTGGCTTATTCGCAGAAGATGCATTCCCATCATTAAAATATGATCCTAAAACTTTCTGTATACTACATAATATATTATACCATATGGTAATCAGAATGCTAAAATATTTTTGTCAATAACCATCTTTACCAAAGCCTCATTACTTAACAATGAACCTGAATTTTAACTATGTTTTCTATTGTTTTTAAGGCACCTTACATTTCCCCTCCAAGCCTTTTGTGCTGTTCTTCCCAATACATGTTGTAGCTTTCTCCCTCCATATTTTGTGCTTGGAAAATCCTTCTCATTCTTCAAATACCAACTGAAATATATCTAGTTTTGGGAAACTCTCTCTGTTCCTTTAACTATAGCCTCCTAGAGTAGTGAAAGAAAGTACATAGTTTACTACAATTAAGTCACAGTGATACTAAAGTAGAATAGAGACAACTTGAAATCGAAGTTCTTGTATGAATAAGCCAATTCTTAGCAAATAGAATCCTTTGATATATACCAGGTAGAAGATGGTCTAAAGTTCTCTTTCAGTATGCCTTCCTTTTGAGCAATAAATGACAACTTTTATAAATATGTGTGATGATAATTGTAGGGTAGCTGTCCTAGGTGTGTAGTACTGAAATAGAGTTGTGAAACCTACCAGAATTTTAAAGCTAATTGTAGATGAAGATTTAATGAAGGCTCCAAAACTTATGGAGACTGTTTCATTCTATTTATTATAGAAAATCTTTCAAAAATCTACATCTCTAAAATAATTAGCTATTCTTTGCAAATCTCATAACTCCATAAAAAGAGATATGTACATATGAATTTATTATTACCAATACAATATATAAGGATACTCCTTTGGAAGTTTCTGTGGAGAAGTAGAGAAAACTGTCTTTCATTAGATCAGATTACTATAAACTTTTAGGGGAAAATATTTTTCTTTTAAATCCAAGTTCTCTAGTAGAAACAACAGCTGTTTAGTTATTCTTCCAAAACACATACTAAGAGGAACAGAAATTAAAACAGATATATACTCTTATCCTCCTGTGTGGTACAGGCCATAAATAACTATGGTCTTAATCTGGGAATCTTTTGCTATAATTCTCACAAGCACTGAACATCTGTACACTTTGGAAATGTAAGTTGTGAAAAGTTGTACTTTTTAAAAATTTCTCTGCCAAAACCAATGGACTTACAGATTTTGGATATCACCAAAATAAATGTACTAGTATTTGTTATTCTCCACAAATATCTTAAAATTTTCCAGATGATATGTCTTGCAAACTTGTTTTAATGATATGTTGCTGGTCTTAAACTGAACAAACAAATGTATTCAAACTTGGTTGTATTTTAAGTTAATATATCAGAGCTAAATAATGGTAATGAATGAAGGAAATAGTGTCCAAATTTTACATATTGCTGCCACCACATGTCTTTTAGTTTAAATAAAAACTTAAATTTGCATTTTTCATAATTAAACACTGAAGAAATTATGTTGTTTTTATGGTTCATGTTTTTGTAATTATCCTATATGTGTAGCACATACTTTCTCTCATAAGGAATGGATCTTGGTATGTAGTGACAGGGTTCCAAATACAAAAATAGAGTTGATTTCATAAAATTGTAATCACATTATGAAAAAAAAAATGCTAACACTGCAGTTACCAAACATCTCTTTCTGATAAAAGGATTACTCATTTGATTCTAGTTGGGTTAATTTCTACATTTTTCTCTCAAATGCATTTATTTTTAACAAATATAGCCGTAGATTTTGAGTTAATTGGCAGCCAACCTTGCACAGATGTTACTTGTTTCTCTTTCCTCTTTCTTGCAGAAATAAACATATCTGCGGAGGATCATTGATAAAGGAAAGTTGGATTCTTACCGCAAGGCAGTGTTTCCCTTCTCGGTAAAGTGTTTCTGAAACCAATTATTTGTTTTGAGCAGTTAAAAAAATTCATGGCTTCCACTTAGCTTTTAGGCTTAGTATGCGTATTTATTTAACAGAGATTTACCAGCATGGGGTGAGGACACTAGTTTTTATTTTTTATTTTTTAAGATTTAGCTAGCAAAACTTTCTTTGACTTAATTATATTTACTTACTGGGTACTGCTTTTATTTACCTTTGCCCACAATTGGCATTACTCTTATTTGAGTGGGAAACTGCTAGAATTATGCAAATAATTTAATTACAACATATTGCATTTTATATTTCTAGATAGAAATTCTTTTTCTGTTTTTGTTTCTTCTTATTATTAAATTTAGTGAATTATCAAAAACTTTCTCCCAATCCTCATTTCTGCTTTCTTGTGGAGAGAGAGCCTCCAAATCGTCCTGGGGCTAATTTCCATTGAAACTTAGTCTAAGGAAAAGACAGGAGACAGCATTTGTAAGCTAACTTCCTAATTCTCATCAAGGTCACTCCGATTTTGTTAATATAAATTTTCAACCCCCAGTAAGAAACCAAACATACACACAGCTGAAGTAAAAGGAAACTTTGTAGTAAAATTGCCTGAAAAAAAATTTTCTCTCTAGCAAAACATAATTAAAATTTTTGAAACGGCCATTTTGATGTTCATCAGTTTATAAGCTATTTTTTATACATACTTTTAACCATCAGAACTTTGCATAATAAATATGTTGCTCTTTATTTTATTTTGAGTGAGATTTTACATTTAGGTGATTTTTTCTGCACTTATAAGCTAAAATAATATATATGAATAATCTTACACAATTTAAAATTATATTTTACCCTTTCTTGTTTTTTTTACTTAGAAACAGAGACTTGAAAGACTATGAAGTTTGGCTTGGAATTCACGATGTCCATGGGAGAGGAGATGAGAAGCGCAAACAGGTCCTCAATGTTTCCCAGGTGGTATACGGGCCGGAAGGATCAGATCTGGTATTACTAAAGCTTGCTAGGTTAGTTTCTACAGGAGGATTTGCATTTTTAACCTAGACTGAAATTGTTAAAGCTCTTTCCACTATGTGGCTATTCGTCCGCTCTTATGTAGATTTGTTATAAAAAATGTAAGTCATGTACTATATATGAACATATATGTGTGTGTATAACTAATTTACCTACCATCTACTACAGATTTCTAAATTATATATTAAACATTCCCTTTTTCTCTTTTCTTTGTTAAGAAACATGACTTTTTATTCTCTCTAAATATCATATTAAATATTAAAACTACATTTCAATCTGTTAATTTGTACTGAATCCAGTCAAGAATGCTACCATTATATTTTGTCTTTTCAGACCTGCTGTCCTGGATAATTTTGTTAGTACAATTGATTTACCTAATTATGGATGCATAATTCCTGAAAAAACCACTTGCAGTGTTTACGGCTGGGGCTACACTGGATGTAAGTTATTTTTCATAAGGCAATACCATATTTATTTTATTTAAAAAATTTTATTTGTTTCTTATTTTTCTCACCTTACTTTGTGCTCATTATCTGTACATTTTTTTCCCCACCACTCTAGCGATCAACTTTGATGGTCTATTACGAGTAGCACATCTCTTTATTATGGGGAATGAGAAGTGCAGCCAGTACCATCAAGGGAAGGTGACTCTGAATGAATCTGAAATATGTGCTGGAGCTGAAAATATTGCCGCGGGACCATGCGAGGTAAAAAGGGAGCTTTTTAAATAAGGCAAAAGTGATTAGTAGCATAGTTTCTCATGTTTATTTTTTGTCTATATTTTTCAAACAAAAATCATTGTACACCAACATGTTCCAAGAGAGAGGAATTGGGAAAGATAACCCGGTATTATCTTTGTACTTTTTATTTGAACTAAACAGTGATACAATCCATGTTTCATTAGCAGTAAACTATGATGGCATTTGTCTCTAAAAACAACAAGCACACACAAAAACCCAAACCCCAAACAAAAAGCCCCAATAAACTGACAGAGCCAGAACTCTAAAAGAAGCTGTTCTAATGAAAAACATACAATAGGAGTTTGATATAATAGCTTTAATTGTTCTAATGTTTTTCTAAATTTATCTAATCTTCCCAAATTCTCCCTAAATGGACTATATTAATAATTTTATTAAGAAATATCTGTCGCCGAAACCAGTTTGGCTCAGTGGTAGAGCATCGGACTGCAGACTGAAAGGTCCCAGGTTCAATTCCGGTCAAGGGCATGTACATTGGTTGCGGGCACATCCCCGTTTGGGGGTGTGCAAGAGGCAGCTGGTCGATGTTTCTCTCTCATCGACGTTTCTAGCTCTCTATCCCTCTCTCCTCCTCTCTGTAAAAAATCAATAAAATATATTAAAAAAGAAAAAGAAAAAAAAAATATCTGTCTAACCCAACCAGTGTGGCTCAGTGGTTGAGAGTCCACCAGGCGGTCACAGTTCAATTCCCAATCAAGGCACATGCCCGGGTTTGCAGCCTCACTCCCTAGTAGGGGGCTTGCAGGAAGCAGCTGATCAATGATTTTCTCTCATCCTTTATGTTTTTGTCTCTCCCTGCCCCTCTCTCTGAAATCAACAAAAAACATAAATTTTTTAAAAGAAATACCTTAGTTTTTAACTTTTAAATCTGTTTTCCATTAAGTCTCTCTCTGTGTGTGTGTGTGTGTGTGTGTGTGTGTGTAACAAATTCTATTTTAAAAACCAAAAGGTCAAAGTCTATGACTGTAAGAGCTTGGACATTATAATTTGTTAGGCAACTGTTCTTTTAACTTGGCAGTGTTCCTATCCCTGTGTTACATAGACAAGCTGTTAAACTGTTACTTTAGATGTATTTTTGAATGTAAGAGACACACTTCTCAAGCCTGGGAGCTGTGGGATTGTAGAATATTATGTGTAGCAAAGCATAGAATGAGTTCAGTATTAGTGAAATGTCTTTTGACCTGTAGGAAATGGCCTAAGTATGGAGCATTAATATGTATAGAATTGCATGTGTTAAATACATTGCTCTGAGACTTATTCCTGAGAAGAAAGCATTTACTTAGTTAAGGATATTTTAAAATTGCTTAAAATGATATCATTAGAAACAGATTATGTATTTATAACCACTTTTAAATTCCCTGTTTTCCAGTAAGTCAGTATTACTGTGTTCATTATAACAAATGAAAAGAACAAGGAGAAAGGAATCCTCCCTCACTCCCTCTCTCCCTTCCTTCCCTCTTTTCTTCTCCCCTCCTCCCCACAAGAGCCCTGTGAGCATGAAGTTTGAGCTAGACCCAATCTTTGCTATCATTTAAGAAGCTATTTTTTTTTTATCCCAGCCCTACTGCCATTACTAAAAATGCTTTGGCAACTGTTCTTCAGGAATAACCTGTAATCAGGTTTATCATCTATACATTCTTAGATTCCTAACTTTAGCATTGGAGTTTTCATCACATTATCACATACTTGTTATTTTTATTATAGGGACAAGATTTGACTTCAAGTTGATTTTACAACTTCTCAAAAATAGATTTGTCCTCTAGAATATTTTTTAAAACAGGGCAATAAATCACTGAAACCACTGAAATCTAAACACTTAAAAAGAAGTCTCCCAAATGTTTGTAGCATCACATTTAGTAACAGTTACCCGATGTAAATTGCTTTGACGATAACGTAGTTTACTGGTGATTTTATTTTAAAATCAAATGTATTAACTCATGTGGCATGATTTATATGAAGTCTCATAGAATAGACTATATTTTTACTGTTTTATATTCTACTTCACCCTTACTTTGATTTTCCCCATCATAGAATGCTGATAGCTCTCTTATTTCCATCTGTATCACAGAACTAAGTGTAGCAGTTTAGTTCTATCTCATCACGTCACTGTTGTGAGAGAATTAAGATATTTTCAAATACTCTTCTTCATACCAGGATGCCAAAAAGTCATTTATCACAACTGTAGGAAGCTACATAGTTCATGAAGGTGATGAAGAACATTTATAATGATTATATACAACAATATGTGTAAATATAGGGTGGGGGCAAAAGTAGGTTTACAGTTATGAGTATGCAAAATACAGTGTTTATTCTTGTATTCTTATATATTCATTATTGTATTATTTTCCATACAAACAACCGTAAGCCTACTTTTTTTTTAATATATTTTATTGATTTTGTACAGAGAGGAAGGGAGAGAGATAGAGAGTTAGAAACATCGATGAGAGAGAGTCATCGATCAGTTGCCTCTTGCACACCCCCTACTGGGGATATGCCCGCAACCAAGGTACATGCCCTTGACCGGAATCGAACCCGGGTCCCCTCAGTCCCCAAGCTGATGCTCTATCCATCGAGCTAAACCGGTCCCGGCCGTAAGCCTACTTTTGCTCTACCCCATATATGTGACCATAAAAATATATACAAAAAAATCTATTCATCTATCTATCACATATCTATATTTGATGATTTAAAAGGGTTCCCATACAAAAATGCCATAAAATCACAGGCTGCCTTCCACAAGGAGGGGTATAAAATATAAACATAATTATGTATAACTACTAATGCCAATAGTAAGTACAAAAACATTCCTTTTTTATGCCCGGAAAAGCAATATCTAAACAGTAAATAAAATTATTTTTTTCAATTACATGTTTTTGTTTCACTTGTTAATATCATTTTAGAGACAGGATTGGAAGAAAGAAAGAAAAAAAAGCTTTAGAAATAAAACTTAATGCAATTTAATCATTAAACAGGTATAAGTACAGGTGGGTTTTTTGGTACTTGCATTTATCTACATTTCTCAAATATTCTGTATTGAACATATTTTAAATATCAGCAGAAAGTAAAAGTAAATATAAAATATACCTTCTCAAATAGCTACCAGTGGCTATGTGTTAGTATGAATTCAAAAGAGGCAAAATCCACTTTCAAAGATAAAAAAATATATCATTCTCAAATGAATACTACACATTATAGGACACTTGCAACTTTTGTACTTATTTCAGTCTTACTTAGTTAGCTCAATAGAAATATAATCAATGGTTTAGTACATACATTTTATTTAAATTACAGTTATTCTCTTTTTTGTATATATGTGCCTTTGAGATACAAATCTATATAGAAAATGTTAAGGAATCATTTTTATTTCTAAAATAATACTTCGTTGTTGCTATTGTCACATGTCTTCTTCCTAGGGGGATTATGGTGGCCCGCTTGTGTGTGAACAACATAAAATGAGAATGGTGCTTGGTGTCATTGTTCCTGGTCGAGGATGTGCCATTGCCAATCGTCCTGGCATTTTTGTCCGAGTAGCCTATTATGCCAAATGGATACATAAAGTTATATTAACATATAAGGTACCACCGTCATAGCTAATATAACTGTGCCTGAAGTTTCCATCAATACAACTCCCCTTTACATGAGGATTCAGAGAACATGGAATTAAAATGTCACTTAAAACAATCCTAAGACACTTGAGTGTCATGTTTGTTAGATACTCAATACTATTTATGAGTGTTTTCTGTTGTTTTGTTTGTGAGTGTTATTTTGTAAATGTTGAAGTGAACTAAGGTACATGCAAGTGCAGTAACATATCTCCTGAAGATACTTGAATGGATTAAAAAAAATGCAAAGGTATCATTGCTGGATGATAAAAGACTTAACGGGAAAATCAATTAATCTCTCTACACTGCTTTCCAAGGTTAGTTTCTTAAGAATGAATGCACCATAAGTTAAAATTATTTTAACCTCACAAAATAATTTATATCTTGTTTTTTAAAAATTGTAACTGAATATGTTATATTATCTTTCATATGCCATACATTATATTTCATTTGTTCCTCCTTACTGTGTATCCTGTAATACTAGTAAACATACTTTTCATAAGAACTTGTACTCATATAGACAACCCTGGGTGCACTAGAGTTTCAAATTGTGGTGTTATCTAGTGTAACCCTTTAATATTCTGAAAGAGTACTTATAGTTTTTCCTTAAGAAAAACAAACAAACAAACAAACAAACAAACATAAAGACCAGTAGAAATATTAAGAAAAAGTGCAAAATAGAAATGACAAGCTCATCCTGATATGCAATCTGCAGATGACCTCGAGGGTTGGCATTGCGGGTGTGTTCGTGAATCACAAAGTTAAATAACACCTAATCTAGGTGGCTACATATAGTAATCATCCTCGTTATTTTATGTAGTTTCTAATTCTTAAAGGGAAGAGAGTGATAGGTGTATTAGTGCCATTCCTTTCTTCCAAATTTGGGGCCACTTTTTTATGTAAGATATTTTTAGATTTATTTTCCTATAGTATTTTTTAAAATCTTAGATGAATATGCAATTGAAGTTTAAACGTATTTTTAAACATTATTTCAGGGGAAATTTTTCATGTCTCCAAAGATTTGCAAATAACCCCTTTTCAAATTATTCATTAAAGTATATATTGAAGAAAAAAATCGAAATCCTTTTTTTTTCTACCTAGAAGTTTTTAGCCTAATAAAACTTTACTCAAGTAAAGGAAGAATGTAAAATGAAAGGAAAAAAATGACTTGTCCAAACTCTTTGTATTCAATTTTTTTAAAAATTGAATCTGCTAAATGGGCTATTTTATCAAGATAGCTTTATTTGATCTTAACTTCATCTTACATAGATATTTCCTAACACCATGGGGAATAGTCATTCAAATTTTATATTCTGTATGATAATAACTGAATTATCATATTACTGTATTTGTTGTGATGAGCTGAATATCATTTATTGTCAATAAATAAGAAAAAGAGTAATAGGATAGGTTCTGAATTTTCACAAAATTTTTCCTTATAGAAGATCTTTAAAAATAATGATTTGAATGATTCAAATCCAGCGTCCACACTTCTCCAACAAGTTTCTCTTGAATGATGTTTAATAAGGCCAAGGATTTTATTAAAGGGTAAAAACAGCACCACCAATAATCCATCAGACATGGGGCACAAAGAAATTCTCCCCTTGGGAAGTTTTCTTTGTAATAGAGGGAAATGGGAGGAATTGACAATAAAAGCAAGATGAACAAAATCTGTGCTATTTTAGGTGGTAGAACAGGGTATAATCATATATATTTTATCTAGTGAAGGAAACTATTACCTGGGCATTCTTTTCTTAATAAACTACAAACATGAAAAATCCAATTTATCCCAAAATACATTTCATTGTGAGTCACGGACCAAACTATCAATATCTTCCAAATGAAAAGTTTTCATTGCTATTTTTGTTTTGGCTGTTTGAATAATGGTCATATATTGTTATAATTATGGACATTTTCTGATGTCTACCAGGAATAGTAATGTAAAATTAAAATGTGTGTCATAATGCCTCTGCTGTGCAGAAGGGATGATGATCCTTTTGTATGCTTCTTTAATTTTATTGTAAACTATGTAATGACTTTTACCTATGTGCTGTGGGCAGGTCCTCAGTAAAATGGTTTCTATTGAAGCAATCTCTAGTGTCAACAGGCTCTTGCTTGCTATCTCAGTGTTTCAAACTGTGGGAAATGTGAAACACTGGAAAGCAAGAAAAATAACAATAATGGTGTGTGATAGCAAAATTGTATTTCACTTATTCCTGTGAATATTTCTTGTTGGTACCAATGGTACTGATTATACAAAGTGGATGTTAGAGCCACAACATTCTCTTGAAGAAAAGAAACACTGTCAAGAAGTTAAAAATTTTCTTGTTGCTTCAAAACATGTTTTTAAAGAAATACTGGTTTTGCCGAGACCTGTTTGGCTTAATGGATAGAGCGTCGGCTTGGGGGCTGAAGGGTCCCGGGTTCGATTCCGGTCAAGGGCATGTACCTTGGTTGCGGGCATATCCCCAGTAGGGGGTGTGCAAGAGGCAGCTGATCGATGACTCTCTCTCATCGATGTTTCTAACTCTCTCTCTCCCTTCCTCTCTGTACAAAATGAATAAAATATATATTTAAAAAAAAATAAAAAAAATAAAGAAATACTGGTTTTGCAATGTAGGGATCATGGTGTAAATAATTTTAATAAACGCTAATACTAAAAAAAAAATTAAAGTGGTGATTTACTAAGGTTCAAAATTGACTACTTTCAAATAATTATATCTCATATTTATAGACAAACTCATTTGATAAAAAATAACTTGAGTAAAAAGACATAGTGTGAACAAATTACGTTTCACAACAAAGCTCCAAAACAGGTTATTTTTTAAAGTTCAACTAAGGTCTGAATTTACTAATACAATAAAAGAAACTATTCTATCCATTAAAACTCTGGGCCTTATATAATCTTGACAGTGTAATTTTAAGTAGATAACTTCCATTTGCACAAAAGTTTCTGTCTTTTAGAAACTGAAAATGGAATACTGTGGATGTTATGACTGTTTATGTTGTGTGTAAATAGGAAATTGATAAGCTGCCTATTCAGTGGTATAGCAGGATGCTTACCCAAAAAGGGAACACTGTGGTTATGACATATATGAAGTGTCTGTAGTTAATAAAGTTGTTATTTTTATAACCATGATTATATTAATATTATTCTTAATGATAATAAAATATTTTACCAAAATGCTTCCCTTCTCTTATTATAATGATATTCTAGTATATGAACATCTTTGAATCTGCTGTAGTGCTTAATGAAATGAATGACAATCATTTTAATAACATGCAAATAAAAGGGCACATCTGTAACACTATAACCTGATGAACAAAAAGATAGATACAGAGGCAGTAAAGCACCGAACAGACTGTCAAATTACACAGAAAGGCTGGGAAGCGTTGGGAGGGGGCGGGGGGGAGATCAACCAAAGGACTTGTATGCATAAGCAATGGACATAAGACACTGGGGAGGTGGGATGAGGGCATGCGACAGGAAGTGGGGGAAGCTGGGGGAAGTTCAATGGGGGGAAAAAAGGAGATGTACTATTATATGTAATACTTTAAACAATAAAATAAATATTTTCAATAATAAAGATAAATTATAAAAAAGAAATGTCATATAACCTGTTTATAGAACTTAAGATAAAAGTTATTATTTTATTGCAATAGATATCCATGGCAATAACAGTAGCCTTTATTAAACCATTAATTTCTGTGCACTTCAATTTCTTCCACTATGAAATAATGTCATCCTTCATATTTGCTAGAATGGCGCTATGATATAATTTGCTAATATATATATAATATTATCATGAATGATCACCTACATGTCTTTACTATATCACTCTCTATTACAAAGATAATCATAGATAATTCAATTAATTAATTTGGAGTACATCTTCAAAATAGGTATTAAACTTAGAATAAATATGAACCAAATGGGTTCATTTAATTCAAATTGCAAGCAAGTTTAAAAGGACTAATTATCAACTGATCAAACCAAAAAGAGCTCAGTAACACCACTGGTTATTTCAAGTTATGCAATTCTGCCTCTTCCCAAAAAGGTTGCTCTATTTTTTATGCTATAAATAATTATGTCACAATTAATGGATCTGTTTCTAGAGCCCATGATAAAATGTCTGATCTTCTTCATAATTTTAATGCAAGCAGAATATATGCACTTATTTCTGGTGTTAGTTTATTTAGTAGATAGCACTGAACAGATTCTCAAGCAGTTGTAAATATCTGGAATCTGATAAATAAAACTTGGACAATAATGTTATTAGCTTTTTAATATCAGTTATTTATTCACTCTTATAAATTGTAATGCTTTAATTAGTGATCATGTTTTAGTGTTCAAAACAGAATCACCTTGGTTGGCATCTTCTCGATTTGTTAATCCAGAATTTTTATCATAATTCTATCCATTATTTTCCTACACAGACACCATCCTTAATGTATAATCTTATAGATACATTATAAGACTATGTATGCTTTAAATAGGTAAACAACATCAAACAAAACTATCAGTCTAACTTTAACTCTGAACTAGCTTTGGACTCTCATCTCTCCCAAATACTCCTGAACACTCATCATTTTATTTCATCATTTGGACCATTACTTCCCATGTAGACGTCATGGCTGCATTCAACAGTTCTTTGAACATTAAGCTTTTCTTTAACTCTTCAAAACCTTCAACTGTCATGTAATTTCTCTGTGAAGCCATCTTCAGCATCCTCAGGTAGAAATCATCCCTTCCCCAGCCTACCACTGGGTTTGCTAAAGCTTTCTGGTCACTTGTTATAACAGTCTTCCTATAACTATATGAAGTTGATTTTTTTTTTGCTTTGTATTTAATGTGCAATCTACCTCCACCCCACTTAAACTCTTCGGAGACAATAGATTTATCTTGATATTAATATTTATATATTCTATATTTTGCACAGTGTTTCATACATAATAATAACCTATATATTTTATAATTATTCAATAATCTATCATCTCTTTGAAGGTGTGTCAGTATAACCCAGAGATTGATAATATTTGTAGAAATTAGACAACTCTCATTGAGGACTAAGAATTTTAGGATTTTGTATTTAATTATATTGTGTAAGTTTGAAATAATAAATGGGATTATTTTTAAGTGGTTTATTATATTTCAAATACTAGAAGATACAGTTAGAAAAGAAAGCATTAACTCTAAAGATATAATACATATATATTTATAAATGTGGTTATTAAAAATGGAAAACTAGATTCTAGTTTGTTAATAGATACAGGTGTTTACTTCATACAACCTAATATAGTTTTGATTACAGGTGAACATTTCTCATCTGAGTTTCTTGCATGAAGTGTTGATGTCAGAACACTGAGGGGAAAAGTCATAACAATTATTGCAAAAAATTCTAAGTCAACAATAGTCCACTCCCTACTGATGTGCAAATATGCCATCTGCTGTGTGCATTGAGAAGTTTCACAATATTGTTACTCAATTAGCAAAAGGTTTTCATTTGGTGAGTTTTCTAAACGAAGAGAAGTTAACTTGGGTAACATGTTGCAATAAAATGTAGAGAAAAGGCAGATGGATTTTTATATTATTTTTTTCACATGTTTTTAAAGCTTTACAAATATCCAGTTTTTAGACCACTGAGTTTTAGGTGGCTAAAATCCAAAAACAGTGATAGTTTAAGATATATGATTATACTCTGAAACAAAGACGTTATATCTTATAAAAATAATATTGAATAGAAGTGGAAATTTGACATTACGGAATTATAAAAGTGATTAAAGACCTTTAATGTACCAAGACAATGTGTACTTATGATTTAATATTTTTAATTGGTTGTTCCAAGAGCCATTATGAGAGAAAGTTCTCAAGTCCTTCTGATTAAGAATAAGACTTTTCAGGGGGAAAAAAGATTGATATTTGAGCCAGACAGTTTAGGTACCAGGCAGAATTTTATAATTCTGAGGGCTACAGAATATATAAATGAATAAGAAAACACATCGAGTCCCTCCCTATAGACATTTTTTAAGAAAGGAAGTATTTCTTCAATGACTTGAGAAAGCTTTACCCAAACTGTCTCTTGCAAAGAAGTATGAAGAACACTGAAAGTTGTGCTGAGGCCCTAGCTGGTTTGGGTAGACCAAACATTGGCCTGCAGACTGACTAGTCCCAGGTTCAGTTCCTGTCAAGGGCACATGCCCAGGTTTAGGGCTCAGTCCCCATTGTGGGGCATGCAGGAAGCAGCCGATCAATGATTCCCTCATCATTGATGTTTCTATCTTTCTTCCCTCTCTCTTCTTCTCTGGAAATCAATTATATATATATATATATATATATATATATATATATATATATATATATATATATATTTTAAAGCTGTGCTGAGAAGAACAAAATGCCCAGGGCTTGAGTAAGTTTTAGAGATGCTGAGATGCTTTATTTATATGGGTTGCTTTGTTGCAGAATTGCCAAGGGCCTTGGATATTCATATTGTGTTTTGAAGCTCCATGAGGGGGCATGGTATGGCATATACTTTAAATTTACTGTGCTACATAATCCCCTTAAAATTGTGGAGACAATATTTGCCCCTTTAGCATTAGAGTTCTGCTAAGTGCAGTCCAGGAAAACTTGATTTACATATTTATTTTCTGAATGGGAAGCAGTAGAAACTACATAGTTCTAGACTTTTATGGTCTTTTATAGCTTACAATAATTTTTCTTCTCTACAAAAAGCTCCCAGCCATCTTTCCATTTGGTGAATTTTCTCAGATCAATTTTCTTTTTTACATGCTTTATCTCTTTATACTCAATTTGAGTAAAATTTGGACATTTAGGAGTTGAGGCATATTTTTCTTGACATATGTGTACCATCTGCTTGACATCTCGTATCATGGGGGGAAAAAGACAAGTAAAGATTATAAAGAAAAAAAATAGAGAAGAGGAAGGAAAAATAAGCCTGGAGGAAATTTGGGAAAGTTTTCTGGAGTTGTTTACATTCGCGAGAAGTAAAATCAACAAAAAAGATCTAAAGTATTATTTATTAGCCTCTTTCCTTCTTAGTCACAACCATTTGTACAGGGTGGGGCAAAGTAGTTTTATAGTTATGAATACATAAAACAGAGTTTATTCTTGCATTTTTATTTATTTATTATTGTATTATTATTTATACAAACAACTACAAACCTACTTTTGTCCCACTCTGTACTAAAAATTAAAATTTCAGGATGATAATAAAAGGAAAGTGGTAGAAAATGAATATAGGATAATGTGGAGGATATTAGCAAATATTCATATTC